CCTGCGATTTAGGAGAGAAAATTTAGTTTATAAATCATAGTTCGAATCATACTACTGCTGCGACAAGGCCAGCAGATGGATTTAAGAAGAAAAGGAAAAGCCACGTACTGTATTAGATGGATATAGGCTGTGCACTCATTTTTTTCCCGGGGATGAATACGCATTTGTTTTATTGTTTGGGTTTTGTTTCGTTGTTTGCAGAAAAAAGCTGGACATTTTTCATTGCAGTTGAGCATGTGTGAATATCAAATGTAAACAAGATGTTGTGAGATTCCATTGTCCAAAAATGTGCTTATAAAGTAGGTATGATAACGATTGTATTAAGTTTGATTGCTTAAGTAACATTACAAGATTCTTTTGAAAGCATGACAAGGCTCCATCTGCTCAAAGGGGCGCATGTAGACCAGACCCTAAAGTGGTCAGACCGCTTTGAAAATAACTCTTGCGTTAATAGACATATGCTTATGCTTTGTAAACGTACACACTCACATATGTTTGAGAATGTATAGGGATTTCTATTTTCATCATAAATTCATCACTGAGTCTAGAAAAAAACGTTTAAAAACCTTCAGTTGTCATCAAATTTGACCCTTGTGGAAATAGGGCAGATGAAAAGAAAGCCTAATTTTAAGGAATACACAAAAAATGCACACGTCACAAAGCCATTCATATCTATATAATATCTATGTTCAAATCCCACAGACAGTGGCCCGTGTGTTGGGGTGGGGCAGGTGGTCCACAGCTCCCCACTTTATTCCCTCTGTACAATGTGGTCCGTGCGGCCGGTCTCGCTGTAGCTACAGGAGTGCGAGGTGCGGCTGGAGGGCAGTGCCTGAGACAAACTGTGCAAACGCTACCGTGTGCTGTCCAGCTCTGTACTGACCCAGAGCGCTGTGTCCGAGTGAGTGAAACTAACCAGGCAGTGATCAGGTCTGCATACAGTCACCAGACCCATGAAAACAGTTCTTCTTAGTTCTTATGTACAGCGGAGCAGCCGAGTGGGACCTCAGACAGGACCAGTGCTTTGTTCTTCAGGCGGTCTCTACATTGAGACCGCTGTAGGTTGATTGACTTGGAGGCGGCGTCTCCTGTTCGCTGATCGGTCAGTTGTTATGATGAGGTAACCAAGGCGTAGATCATACTGCAGGAATACAAGCACAAACACAACAGTGAATACAATATTATGGCATTGCGGAAGATGTCAAATATGTGTTTTTTGTGTGTAGAATGTATTGTTCTTCACAGAACAAACGGCCCTAGGATTTTTTCTCAGTGCTAATACTAATGCAGTGTACTTGATTTGATGAAGGTAAATAAAGTTTTACAAGAATAAGTTGGATTGAATTTAATTGAATTAAAATATTCAACTTTTTCACTATTTATTAATGCTAATAACAACTTTGTCGCTCCTGCTTCGCTTTTAAATATTTTTTTGTTAAATGATATCCTATCTATAGCAGCACCATATTTGTTGTATATGTTTAATTCTAGTATGATTGAACGTGATGTAACTTGATAATTTTACATTTTTAAGCCTACGGCAAGGCCTAAGAATTGAAAATAAATCTGTCCTTCCTGGCATGTTTCCATTAAACCTTTTGCTGGGGAGAAGAAGGAGATTCAGTGAGAAGAAGGCAACATAAAACGTTAAGCTGATGATTACTTTTATGACCCATGTACGGCAATGAGCATGTGCAGAATGAGCAGCTTTGCAGACTCAGAAGAATCCAGTACCTCCATAGACCATGAACACAATATAATCTGAGTGTTCCATTTTGCATGAGCAATTGTAAATTGTTAGCATAGAAAGTTGGATAACTCACACCTGCCTATTCTAGACAGAGGAAGAGTAGGGAAGTGAGTGTGGCTTGCCAAGCTAGTAAAATTGTGTCTTTACCATAGTTGCTAAATACAAGTACGACCCAACAATAAGCCTTGGAGTACCGCAGGGCTCAGTATTCAGTCCAATGCTAATACATTGCCTCAATACATTGTCCCACTGTATGAAATATTCCATCTATTAATTTTCTTTTGCTTCATCTGTTTCTGGGTCGTGGGGGGCAGTTTTAAGCAGAAACGCCAAGACTTCCCTACTATCCACACACACTTCCTCCAACGTGTCCTGGGTCATATGGTCTTCCTTTCAGTCAAACAAATGACACTTCACATGCTAAGAACATGAAATAAACATAGAAATAAAAAAATAATAAACATCTAATTGGCACACTTAAATAGTTATCTTATAGCACAAAAAAACTGTAACATATTAATATTTGATTGCCAGGCCAGGGGAGGGCGCTCTCAGCATGAGTGAAGGACAGCAGGCAGCCAATCACAGCTGTCAATAAGGAGCTCAAGAGCCATATATTTTTCAATTCAACCAGTCAATATTTCATCACTGTGGTGCACCATATATTTCAACACGCTAATTAGCGTGGTTAAACACTAAACAGAGATTAGTGTCAGAGAGAATGGTACATTTGAACACAAAGAATCATTTTCAGTTTCACAAGCTTGAACTGACAAAAATGTGAAGTGCTTGTTGATAATGTCGGGTTACCAATGGATTTACATGTGACTTCCAGAGTTATCTATCCAGACACACACCAGCTCTTCTCATTCATCTCAATGGGAAATGGGAAATGACATTGTTTAAATAACCCATTACTATTGACTATTGCATTGTCAACATGGTCGGCTGTCTGAAGCCAGCGGAGAACTAAAGGGACCACTAAACCTAACAACATATCAATAGAAACATAGGGCAAGACAAAATCTGCCATGGGTAAGTAGTGAATAGTGTTAACCACTCTTACTTGTGACGCACAGAATAATGTCAAACATTTTTGTGTCACTGTGTGTTATCATCTACAGTGAATCTTGCACATGTTATTTGGTCACATGCCTTATTGCACTTTTTACTACACATCTCTCGATGACTGAAATCAAGTCAGTCATAACATTTAACATGTTATTTGTCTACCTAATATATTTGTGTAATGATAACTCTATAGTCTATATGGTTTGGTCTCTCACCACACTTCAGCATCTAGAGCTACAGTATGTTGCCATGACGACAGTGCCATGAGGCTGTGAGCGGAGAGCTATGAACATTCGAAGGTAAATGAGTCTCCATCAACGATGTTACAGTTATTGAGAGGCATTATTGCTTTCTACCGAGACCTCCACATGAGGACGACTGCACACACACACACACACACACACACACAAGGTTACACAGTGCATTCACATGATCTGATAGATCATGAGGCACTTTGTTGTGACGACGATTAGGGAAATGTCACTTATAGGGGCTATTGAATAATATTGAATGCGTTTTTTTTATCAGTCCCAAAATGTACAATAAGCTCCATAGCTTGGACCTAGCGAGATAAGAAGACATTAGACCATAAGGAAAGATCTCAGTTTTGGCTTGATAATAGTATCCAAATGACTTCTACCAAGGTGCCCTCCCAGACAATGCATTTAACAGTTTCCATGACATCAGATCCAGGCGATGCAGCAGTTCATTATTGAGGAGTGGAAATTGTCTGACAATTTGAATTGTCAAAGTCATGTTCACTGTGTATGAATATATGCGTCATTATTTCTATATTGTGGTTGAAGTATAATTCATGGCACATTTTCAAGCATGCTAAACTGTGGTCTTGGTAAGAGGAGGTTCAAGAAAACAAAAGAATACACTGGTCAGAAGAAAAGGGGAACGATGCTAACACTGTGGTTTTAGTTAAAAGCATCAACATAGCAATATGACTCGTGGTATGTTGTGAAATAGCAATCATTTTAATCCAGATGGTGTAAGTGTGCCTCTGACGGAAAATAATTGCAATGGTCAGATAGTATATAACACTGCAGTTCTTACCCACATCCATTCTCTTTTTTGTGAAAAAGGGAAAAATCAAGAGTCGAATTGTGATTTTAGCTGATCGTCTGCAGTGGTCAGGCTTCAGCGAGCCGCACAAAGGATGTGAAATTACCCTCAAACTGGTCTTTTGTTAGTGCTCGGGGGGTCAGTGATGGTGCGGGGGGCAGTGGAGGCATGCATTGGCTGGGTCTGTGTAGATACCAGATACAGGATTTAGAGCTGTATTGTCCATGTGTTTAGATACAAGGATACAAGTGCGCTGGTGCAAAGGATATTGAGGTCACAAAGGCAGGCGCAAAGAGGTAAGTATGCTGTGTTCAAGGAAAATTGGGAAAAGGAGAGCTGGAGGTAAAGGTTAAAATAGAGATTATCAAGAAGCAAGCTTTAGCTGCTCACTGTCAGTCCAATATAAATACACCGCCATCATCTGCTAAAGACTTTTCAATAATAGTTAAGAGCAAGTTTTTAAAATGACATTAATTTCAAAATGGCTTTTAAAACTCTTGGCTGGACTGAGAGTGAAGAGGCATCAGGCTGCTTGAAAGAGTACCTCTCTGCTCTTCCTCCTGCAGCTGCTGTAGTTGTCTGTAAAAGATTGAAAACACCACTTCGATGAAAGCTACACAGCGCAATGGGATGAGAAAAAGCCAGATGGGTTCAGTTTGAGATGAAAGCACACAGCCAACAGGACACTCTCAGCGACCAAATAACACACATTTGAATAAAGAAAAGGAGAGAAGAACCGATATTTAAAATCTAGGCAATTGTGTGGTCAGTATTGTAACTAGCAGCTAATATAGAGGTGCCTACTTCCAGGGTTTTGTGAGAACGTTTTTTTTTTTTATGACTTATAAAACATAATTTTGAGTTTAAAGAAACCTCTGTACTGAGCTGCGACGCTGCGCCATGCCAGAAGGTAGCGCTGTTGGGTCTTCACCATTGTTACTCATAGGTTTTGTTTTCAGACACACAAAAAGGTGCGATTGATAGCACACGAAAAGCCAGAAATACATAGAAAAGGACGATACACTGTGTCACTAAAACCAAGAGAAAAAAACAACGTTCAAAAAAATGTAAGAATTGTACCTTTAAGTGTATCCATTGATTAGATCTATTAGAGGGAAATATCCAGGTTCCACACACTGCAGCCCCCACATGGCAGAGAAGAGTCCGGAGTGGTTAATAACAACATTATTCACAAGTTAAAAAATCAGAAACATCATATCAAGAGTGGTGCAATGCTGCTGTCTGCTGTGGTGTTGCTCCCTCAGGCTTCCACTTTGTGCTAGTGCTTGTCAATGAAGTAAAGAATCAAATTCTCGCAACATCACATGCATTAGCTCAAGAGCCTGTCCTATCCAGCTAACCTACGTGTCCCTGTGCATGTGACTGTCTGAGAAATTGTTACTTTATTCAGAGAGTTGCACTAACTTCACCAGTGCTGAAAGAAAGAGCCTTGTTTCGGTTGTGTTAAAACTAGGGAATGCTTTAGATTGATTAGAGGCATTCAACAGGCCAGAACATGCAGTGGTCCCCAATGCAAACGGCACTATACAACTTCAACAAAAACACACTAAACACAAACTAGAGCATGAGCACAAAAAAAGATTGTGTCTCAAATGTATAAAATATAGAGATGTGAAAATCTCTAGTAAATTAGCCAAGTTCAATGAAAATATTTAAATCTTCTTTTCACCTTTCTTAATTATTTCTTGTCAACATGGGGAGCTAGTGTTGTCAACAAAGACTGTCAAAACTCAGATATTAATTGATGGTAAAAATAGTATGGAGACTATAATTTGAGTAAGTATATAAACTATATGATCCAGACAGAACATAATTGGATGCTTTGTCGAGCATTTTTGTATGTTTTAAAGGGACAGTATGTAATATGCACTACTAGTGGTCTAATAATGTCATTACAATTACTACCTAACGTTTGTTGCCATAATCTTTCTGCCTGTGACACAAGCATGATGACTGACACAATCCACCTGCACTCTGATTGGGCGATTATCTTGAAAATTGTAAATAAAAATATAATGGCCGTCATGTCCATTGTACTTTTACTTAAGAATTACTCCACTTTAAACTTTTTTTCGGAAAAGGTCAAATATGTTATGTTCACGTAAACAATGTTAACATTGTTAACAATTACAGATAGAGCATGGACTTTTGTTGTACTATCAAAATCCAGTTTGAAATTTAGAATCTCGACAACAGTATTCAAATCTTTTGATATTCTTGAAGAAAACAACTAGTGGCATTTGTGTTTGGCGGATGTCTCCTGAAGTTGCAGAGCCCTCGTGGCCCCTCCCCCTCCTCACCAGTACAGGTAGTAGAAGAAGGACAGGACGAAGAAGGAGAGCTTGCACCAGGCCTCCTTCAGGCAGAACTTGAGCGTGTCTCCGTTCATGACCGACGCCGGGTCGTACAGCAGCTCCTTGGTGTCGGTGGGGGAATGGAAGTACCTGCCGCGGGGGGGAAAGACCACACAGCGGGTAGTTGACCCGTTCACGAGCCCAAAGGACGGGAATGGGGTGAGGGCGGGATGGGAGGGATGGGAGGGACAGCACGGAGAGAGATGGCACGATGAGTTAACAGGACACTTCATGCAGAAGACGTGGAAGAACTCAGAGAGAAAACACACAGACCAGACTGTTCACAGGACTATTGGACGTTCTTATAAAGTATTACTATAGTTCATTTGTTAGAAACGGTTATGATATCTTGGCGAAAAACTAACAATTTTCTAATTTCAAAGCGGCTTTACAGATATTTTAGTGAAATGAAAATATGGTTTTATCCATTCTTGAGCAGATCATTTCAAATTGACTGTCATTAACAGGGAAGACATTTTTTTTTCTTTCTGTTATATTCAACTGTTAATTTTTAATCGATCAAGCAGTCAATGGCATCCAATAGTTTAATTGAATATATTCTATGTTTGTCAACCCATTGTATCTATCATTTCTAGAAGTATTCAAAGAAATCTAAATTAGCAAAACAATTGGTGGTTTTATTGCACACAGCTAAAGTGGATCGGACACATTCTGTTGTAATAGTTTTGAGCACGTTTGTCACCCCCTGTTTTAAGTCAACCAATCGAATCAAAAGACCAGAAATCTTGGGTTTGGGGATTTCAAATCTATATTTGTGGATACATTTTCAAAATGAGAAAATTATCAAGTTATTTCAAGCACTATCTAAATCGGTTCAATGGTGATGTTAGTACTTTAGACAAGGTGTGTCCAACCCTGTATATACTGTAGTGGACCTTGTTAATTATGAATGAAAAGCCTGAAATGAAAAAGTCATGACAAAGATATGACTTTTTTTTTTTTTTTTTTACTCAGATGTTTGATTTTCTTTTAGAATATGAACTAGTGCAAGTAGAATTAAAATCTGTGAACAGTCAGTCCAAAGTGTTAAACGACAGCAACACACAGTAAGTAACACATCTTTAACATTTGATCAATATTCGACTCAAATGTAAAGTGTGCTGAACAGTTTGATCCGCTGTGGGGAATGGAGCATGGAGGAGCCCACAACAGAGCCATGGGTCACTATGAAAAGACACACCACTTACAAAGAGATGGCACTTCAAATGAAACAGATCCGGGAAACATTCTAGTTTGTTCTCCCAGTTTGATCAGCGGGGATTTCAAAATACACAAAGGACTCTACGAAATACCCTTCTATAGTCAAAGGTGTATTGCTTTTTTAAATTCAATTGACGATAAATGTGCTGTTTTTTGTTGTTGTTTTCAATTCACTTGTGAGTAATAACCATGAGTTTCTAGACCAAACAATATTACTAATACTATTGGCACAAATGTGTAGCCTATTTGTTTATATACTGCATATATACTTGCACGGCTGTAATGTCTACTCATATATAATTGAAATTGTGTGCATGCCTTTATATTTTTTTGCCGTTATAACTTGTTTGTACCATGAGCCAAAGCAAATTCCTAGTTTGTGACTTCCATGTTACAATGGCATACAAATAATTCTGTGTCTGATCCTGATACAGCCATATTTATGTTATTTTGTGTGTGCATACTTGTATACTTATATTTTAATTTATCCAGGAAGCTCTTTTTCAGAGTGTGATGTCTTGCGATCCGGATTAGTTACATCCTGTATGAATGATTTTCTTAATAGGGTTAGGAGAAATAAGCCTCAAACTTCATCTTAAACCGATTTTGGTCTTTGACATTATCAATCTATGTATGAAAATTGTTGGTGTTTTTTGTTGTATACACTAAACAGAGCAATACATTAAACAGGGAAATACATCATTGCTTGTTATTGTCTGTGTATTAAAAATGTTCTTGCTTTTTCGTTGAGGCCCAATTACATAAAAATGAAGAATGATACACTAAAAAAACATAATTAGAATGTTGTTCAAAAGTCCACGTACTTCGGTGATTGCGGATCGAGACATTCAGCACATTGATCATTGTTGTAGTCTTAGCTTGATTTACATTTTTAATCACACTGTGAATTATTATTAGTCTTCAATGTTCAATATCTTTATTAATTAAAAAATAAAGTGTATTATGTACATGGGATGGTAGTCTATATGTTCTTCTTCTTTCCTCTCCAGATAAATGTAAATACTTTTGTAAATGTAAAATATTTCAAATACACCACCTGGTAAAACTGTTAAAAAAATGGCACATGCATTTGTATGTATATAGGCAAAAATATTATTATTATGAATTATAATAATCATTATTCATAACGCTCAAATTAATGAATTGATGAATTGAAAAAAATAATATATGACAGACTTATTACACACAAGTGAGATATATCAAGCCTTTTTTAGTATAATGTTGATAATTGCTTGTAAAAAATAAATATTAATCTCAACATAAAAAAAATATTTGTAGATGCACTTTTTAATGATATTCTAATGATATTCAGTTTTCAAACCACTTGTTATGTGTCTGATATAGTGATATATGTGATTTTTTTTTTTTTCTATAAAAAAATATTTAGATCTAGTTATCCGAGTTTTATCTGTACTGTATGTCGTGGCTTATCCAAAAGACTGGTATGTGTAAAGAGCCTTTTCGAGTAATTAAAAGTACATGGACCTTACAGATTATAGAAAAATCACACATACTAATTAGCCCAGAAACCTTCAGGCCTCATCACAGGGGGATATGATTCTGATTCCAATGCCGAGGGAATGAATGAAAGATGGACTTATACAGTTTCTCACATTGTGTTGTAACAATAGCTGCGACATGAGCATAACAGTTAGTATATATAAATCACACTACACACACGGCCCATGCACATACAGTATATGGAATATTCTTTTATGCATCTCAATGTCATCGTCAGCTTGACACGGCGTTCGGCATCATGCATGTGCACAGAGATACATGCATAATGACTAATGAGGTTACGGCGAACGCGGCGAATGCTACGTGGAGACTTTGGGATCATCATCAATCATGCAGCATCGTATCTTAGCGTGAAGGGGCAGCATTTGAAGCTCCCACTGTCAGAGATAGCGCATCGATGCCGCATCATCTTCCTGGGCTTTCCCTGCAGCTCACACTTTGCTCTGATCTGTACAAACCTAATCTGGTGTCAGAGCTGTTGCTATGGAAACCACTCCCATCTTTCTAATTCTTCAGCTTCAGATGAAAGCAGCATCCCTCTCCTTATTTCTGTACATGCACAAAAGGGTCTTATTACTACACTGATTTGTATTTTTTTTTGTGTTGTTTTTTTTTTACATTACAACTAACTGGTTCCACTCAACAAAATAATAAAGGGCGTTAGTTTTGCTGCTAAAGTGGTGATTTTTGAGAAACAGTTATAGCAATGTGTTAAGAAAGTTATCTTATGACCTAAACTAGGCAAGAAAAATGTTTCTTTCTTAAAACTCAATTCTTTCAGCCTTGATATGAGCCATCACTAATGTTGTTTGTATGAGTGTAAAGGTGTGAGATTAAGTGATGGTAAACCATAACAGAGGGGATAGCTGAGGAGTAGCTACCATATGGCTTTAATTAACAGCACATTATGTCACTATATTTAGCAGAAGTGGTTTATTTATACTGGCAGAGTTGTACTATACACAATATGTTACCGCATTACGTTCATGTCATAAACAACAACACCCTAAAGCGATTTGTGGATGTTGTACTGGTGCGCCTAACATTCTCATTTAGGTACATCTGCACTGTTTTTTTGTTCATAGATCTTATTCATTTTGCAATAGGTATTTTAATCAACAAAACACAATGTATCCCTCACTGTGCTAAAGATAGCTGGACCGAGGACAACATAAAATAGAATTAACTACCATTTGCAAGTCCATTCATTAAAATATGGACATTTATATCAAGAGTTTTATAGAGTTTGCTTCACCCAAATTATTTTAGACATGGCTGTTTTAAAGTTTTATCATCTACTAATTAACTTTTCTTCTAGCCTAGGTTTTCCAATGATGAGGAGCCTAAAAGATATGAAATAATTCTGACCAATCAGAAACCTGTAGGGGTGAACATGGGCGGGCCTAACCAGTGAACGTCTTCCAAAAGTTTCACTCTCGCTTCACAATTTGAAAAGTAACTGACATTAACATTAAATAATTTTCATAATTCTGGACAATAGAATCATTACTACTTTGGTTGGTGCCTTGGTCTTTCCTTGGTCTTGGTGCGGACTGCCTCTTTTAGCAGTAAAGGAAAAGATGCACTTTATTGATCCCCGTAGGCATTTGACCCATCCTTATGCCGCTAAGGTTTACGTCAGGAGCAGTGGTCGCCGTAGTAACAGTGCCCAGGAACCCATCTCCAGATGTTGATGCTCAGCTTGGTCAAGGCTACCAGAGCTGGAGGATTTTACCTAGTGTGCATGTTTTTAGTGGTAGGGGAAACCAGAGCACCCGGAGGAAACCTACGCAGGCACGGGGAGAACATGCAAACTCCACCAAGAAAGACCCTGAATTTGAGTCCAGGACCCTCTTGCTGAGTAGCGAGGGTTCTATTCAGCCCTGGTGCCTCCGAAGTCCAGTCCTGAATGGGGGGCTGTGTTGGTTACAGACCTTGTGATTCACAGAATATGATTCTTTATTTGCTCCTGTGTCTCCTTGCCCCCTGCCTCTTGCTCTTGTCAGTATTAGATCAGTGTCCTCTCAGTAACTCAGACTAACCTCACTTCTTCTTATCCCGCTCCATCTCTGTCTGACTCTCTCTCCCCTCACGTCCAGCACTCTATCAGCCGCTCGCTCGCCCCGGCCGTCTCTCAGCTGTGCAAGAAGCTGCATCTATAGCCGCTGGGCTCAGGCTCCACTAATGAGACAGCAAGAACACTTTTTTCCCTCTTCCCTCTCCTTGTGTAAGTTTAAGCAGCTGAGCAGAAGAGTGGAGGGCATTGCAGAAAGAGCCAAGCACAGGCGAAGCTACAAAGGCACATGGGAACAAAGGGACTGCATGGCAACCTATTTCACACGCCTCACTCCAGAACTGAGAATCCTGGTTCAGTCTGGGAAGGTTCATTAAGCCCTTTTTATTATAGACATTCCTCACCACCCACTGTCGAAAAAGGCTATTCTCTCCGAATTAAAGTCGCAATATTTAACTTAGGGGATTGCTAAAGCTGCTTGAGGAAGATAACACAGCTTCGCAAAGAATGATCATTAGAAGCACAATGCAAAATATACAGTATATTTATCATAACGCTTTGGTTTTCGTGAGATTTGTTTTTGTTTTTTTAGTTTTTACCGGAAGGAGCAAAACAGATTTTTTACAGGTTTTGTTGGGCAACTAACTTTCAAGGATACAATAAATTTTCAAATAAGGATACCCTATTTATTGTATCAATATATTGTATTTATTATAATGAAGACATAAAACAATGTGTTAAGAGATTATAGTCGTCATTCCTTGGCCAGTCAATTTACCATCGTTACTTAAAAACATAAATCTACTATAAATAAATAGTCTGCTATTTAGTGTATATTTGTTTTGTATATGGATCTCATTGGCTGAAAGACATTTGTTAAGAGGTTAGCAAATAAGTCCAAAATGCTTGTTCTATTCTCTTTATTTGCATTAAATCTGGTTTAATTTAGCTTTTTACATAAACCCCTGTTTCATGTTTGCCTTTAATTTGTTATGCATTAGCTTACTTAAACTTTAAAATACCATTAAGGAAATTAAAGATTTAGAGATCTTTAATTTGCTCATTTTCTTTGACAAAATAATATATTCTCACGGCATACTATTCTCCACAGATCTAATCGCATTGTACTAAAACACTTCAATCGTCAAAATGAATTGGCATCGAATGATCTTATTCTCAAGGCTGTCAAACTATACTACACAGCAGTCTTTCCCTGTCTCGTACAGTATAGTCCACCTTATATTCAGATAATAGTAAAAAGACAGTATAGTTACCTCCATGTGTTGTAGAAGAGCAGGGGGATGTTGAGGCCCACCGTCAGCCACTCCTGAGCACAGAGGAACATGATGCAGAAGAGCCCATGGATGGAGTACTCCGGCAGCACCAGCTAAACACACAACATTTAATTATCAATGTGAGAATGATTTCACCTACTGTACGGTTGTTGAGGGAAGAAAACCTTTCCATGGCCAGCCAACCCATCTTCTATACTTTCAAACCCTTATCTTCTGTCTGCTATACATTATTCTATATAGATTAGATGAAAGCATTGCCATCTGCTGGTCTTCAGGGGTTAAACATTGATTTGCAAAAAAGATAAATGCATCTTTTTGTCCATTCAGAAAGCAAAGTGTAACGCTTTTGAGACAAATCCTGTTTGTGGAGCTTGTAAATGTCCAGATTAATAAGGTTCCATATGTTTCAAAAGCTAATTGCTAACATACTGGCAAGTAAACAATGAGTTAGGTAAAGGTAAAGTTGCACTTTATTAACCCCCATAGGGCAATTCATCCTCTGCATTTGACCCATACTGATGCCGCTAAGGCTTATGTCAGGAGCAGTGGTCGCCGTAGTAGCAGTACCTGGGAACCCATCTCCAGATGTTGGAGCTCGGCTTGGTCACAACTGCTGGAGCTGGAGTATTTAATCAAGTGTGCATGATTTTAATGGTAGGGGAAACCGGAGTACCCGGAGGAAACCTACACAAGCATTTCTAGATTTTTTTATATATATATTTTTTTGCATGGACATATTTAAAAAAGATGCTGCTACAAGTTGAGGACTGGACGACAGGACATGATGTGGTTTCCCTGTGGCCAGGCTCCATCAGTCTCACCGTCACCAGTCAGTTTGGCATCTACAAACAGGAGCGTCTGCCTCAAAGCTCAGAGGCACACGTGTCCTGAGGCTGGAGCTCATTGTCTCACAGGCCCCAGCACCAGCACCAGAGCAAACATTGGGGAAAGAGGCTTATGTATGTGCAGCTTTACACCAGCCGCCCGCCTGGGAAAGTCAAAAGAGCCTTAGGGCTGAGGGAAAACAGTTGGTTTTGGCAAAGGTTTCATTTTGCTCGCTTTTTCCTAAATGATAGAAGTCAGTATTATCTAAACTTGGGGCTTGGGACAACATGCAAGGGAAGGCAAGTTTATTCAAACCAAAAGTGCCTTGCAAAACTTGCCTGGCCTTAGCCATCTAGTCTTTGTGTTTGCGATTACAATCGGTTGAATTCCATCTGACCAATCAGTGGGCGCGGGAGGCGACAGTAGCTGTTGTCTGGTGTGTGTGTGTGAATGGTTGGTGGTGGTCGAAGGGGCCGATGGCACATACTGGTTGCATCGCTTCTGTCAGTGTGCCCCAGGGCAGCTGTGGCTACAGTAGTAGATTATCACCACCGTGTTTGAAAGAATAATGACATGTAAAGCGTCTTTCAGTGTCCAAAAAAGCGCTATATAAAACCGATGCATTATTATTATTATTAGATGTGTAGGACGTCAAGAGTTTGCGCCGAACGGGCAGGTTGTAGTTTGGCAATGGCAACGAATGTGATAGTAAAGTAATCCGTTCTGGTTCTATCAAGAAATTGAAGCTGGAGCACGAGGAATGTTTAGCAAATGTAATTGCCGGCAAAAATTGTGGCGCTACTTCCCACGGGCTCCGTTAGCGGCAAAGGAGATGGCTAGGCTAAATGCTAACGACTCACTTGGGCGCCTTATTTACGTGACGGTAAACTCTGATCCAATTTTTTCAATCTGCAAAAGGAGTTAACCCCTCCCACCTGTAAACGGAGCTCAATGGAGCACCTCCAGACCTTAGTACGAAATGTAATTTGTACTATGGTGTGGTACGACCAGGCTATTGCAAAACAGGACAAGGCAGGAAATAATGATCATAAAACAAGTTAAAACATAAATGATATGGTACTTAATTGCAGATGGACAGCTAAACATGATTTTAATTTGAGCAATGAGAAATATGAAAGCTTATCTTTTGGTGAAAGGCGGTGATCAATACTTCTATGGATCTTTTGTAGGACTTAGTGTTCAATTATGTAAAAACCGAATTTGTCATTACAGAAGTATGCATAAGACAGTCATTTTCTGCTTGATGTTTTGGTTATCTGAAGGTCAAAGCTTATCTATTAGCGACGTGGCAGTTACCGAGGGGAGATTCTGGGTGAACACTGTGAAAACTATGGTTGTGTCAGTTGTGCTGTGTACAAATAATAAACATGTCTTCTGCTGAAACACAATTTCTTTATTCACTGCACACAGCTTTTCCCCATAGTAAAAGTATAATCATAGTCAAAAGTCAAAAAATTACAAATATTTACGGAGACACTTTTCTGTCTATCCTCTATCATTTCTGTCTATCCTCTCCTCTTTCCAACTTTATCTGTCATCATTATGACTTCCAATCCAATCAAATCCACTTCATCTCTATAGCATAAACCCAGTCTCCAAAGTGCTGCACAATTAAAGACTAATTAAAACAAATCCATAGTAAAAGAGTAAAAAACAGTACATTTGGATGAGGTCCGAGATGGCCCAGTCCATTCAAAGCTTTAAAAACAAACAATAACATTTTAAATGTGATTCTATAATGAACAGGAAGGAAGCCAGTGCAGCAACTCCAGAATTGGTATGAGCTGATTGCGCCTTCTACTTCCTGTCAAAAGTCGTGCCGCTGAGTTTTCGATCAACTATCATCGGGAAAGTGCGTACTTCAGCTGTGGTCTGTTCATTGCTATTCACCTGCTGTCCCATTGTCTGTTTCATGGCATGATGACTAAGAACAGCGAGGATCAGGGACAATTAGGGACATTTATGAAACTCAAGTATTAAACTCACGGTACTTGAGCCTGATTTGTCTCATCACTGTTTCTTCAACCCAGTATTAGTTGCTAACACACAACACAATGTGGTCAGTGCAGGCGGGAACAAACACAGCGAAGGAAAACTGCTTGTCATGCAAATTCACCTGATTCTTCTGAAACACTTTGTGCAAGAAATGGGCCCTGGCATTTCTCGCTTAATATTCAGGGAGAAAGCCACTTTGGTCTCATGTAAATTTAACAGGGCAACACATTACAATGCCATTCTGGATGCAAACATCACTATACATGTAGGCATAAAGAGGATGCATAATTCATACTTCCACATGGCTTTTATTAACACAAAAACACATTTGCACTCGAAAGCTTGTGAATCGCAGGAGGGAACAACTCCACATTTGGATTTGTACAAGGATTCAATAACAATAGCACAAAGAAATAGCTTCAAATGCTCGCGCTCAGTCACAACAGCATGCTTCAGTCATGTTTCTGTTTACACACATGCTCAAACAAGCAGACGACAGATTCATTGTAGGGATTTGGGGATGCACTGACAGGCGAAAGATGCTTTGATCGTTATTTAAAGCTTCACTAAATAACTTTGTGAAATTTTCAAATATGGGCACTGGCCTCGCTCTCTCTGCTCGCCCTCCCCGCACTCACAAAGCATATATGGATATGGATTGAATTTTTGTAATGAATACAAAAATAAAGTGAGGTAATGCAGCTTTAAGTGCAGTAATCTTTAGTGATAAACTTTATTGATCTTGCTTGTTCAAAAGTGAAGATGTTCTTAAATCTGTATATTTGTCTGCATTCCTGTTCATTCAACCAGTCGCCTTTGAATAGTTTCCAGAAAAGTCTTAAGTCCAGAAAGGAATGGTATCTGGTCTGTGGTCTCCTTCATAAGCTTCAGACATATTTACCCCCTGTTTTAATCATTGCGTTTTAATAACAAAAAGGCATCAGCTTTAAACGGTGCCTTTTTGGACACTCAAAGATGCTTCACATGTCAATATTCATTCACTCCAAACACGGTGGTGAGAGACTACTACTGTAGCCACAGCTGCCCTCGGGCACACTGACAGAAGTGAGGCCTCCAGACCACCACCAGCCATTCACCCACACACCAGACTCATTCTAGGCAAGTGTTTTTCCTAAGGACACATCAACAGTATGGTATTTTACAACCGTAGCTCAAATTTGGCGTCTGGAGTTCCCAGAGGTCTCCCATCACAGTACTAACGAGGCCCTGTCTTACTTAGCTTCAGAAGTCTGTCAGGATCTAGTTTTCGCATGTAGGTGGCGCCATATCGTCATTGTTGGGTGAAATATCTCTCCAGCATTTCTAAATCCAAATTCCACAGATACAGATTCAAATGCACTTGGATTGTGGGTGTTTGAAATATCAAGAGTCAACTGAAAAAATGTCCAACTTAAACCATTACGCATTGTCCTTTCATTGTTTTAGAATGTGAAATAATATCTTAAGCAGAAATTCTATGGTGACAGGTGCATCAAGGGTACAAATGTAACTCCCTATGCTACCACCAGAAGTTTAAATAGTTTTTTGTTTTTTTTTCCATCAAAACTGCTCTGAGCCTATTTTGAGAGAGGAGCATTAGACAGGATGAGCAGAGTTACGTATTTGTGCCAGAGGTTCTCGATATTAGCATGGACGGATCTAAAAACAACTCCATGTCCGTTTACCATGAGGGAGCGATGTTGTAACATGGTCAAAAGCTCATTTCCTCAAAGTCAATTTTGAATCATAGGTCTCCTTTAAGTTCACACATTTGATAATGAGCTTGATAGAGAGAAGTGAGCGTTGGAGCAGTAATGTTATTTAAAGCTGTCTTGCCTATACTATACAGTTGTCATGGTAACACTATACATTTTCTCTTCCTCTCCGCTCCATGCTCCGCTCCATGCTATGTTATGAATGAGTGTGAAGACTGGCAGCGCAGAGGCTCATCTGGGACTAACTCTGGTTTGTTATGCCCCGGGGGTCGCCCTTCAGTCCATCTGATCCAACACACTCATTCATCTACCCCTGATAACTCTGCTGCTCAGCCATGGGAAACTTCAACTAAACACTGTATGGACTTAAGGCAGTGAATATAAGATTTCTGGTTATTTTAACATATTGCAGACTTTACAAATAATTTTGCACCTTAATTATATTTGTTGATTTTTTCTCTTTCACAGTCCCAGGTGAGTCACTTAGCTCTACAGCCATTTGTTAGTGCCATGCTGCTAGCCCATCTTCTACGAAAAGTTTTATCTCTGCATCTCGAACTAGTGCAGCATGTCGGACCGATGTATTATTATTCATCTTTACTCACTTTACTGCCTCAAGAAGAAAACCAAATGTTCAACAACCAATCATTACCCAGAAATGAACACTTTATAATACTGTTTGATTATAAATGTACTTAGCCTTAACAAATGTCTAATAAGATAGAAACAAATAATCATCTATACACTAGTAATATTTGTATAAAGTACCATATAATTTTAAGTCTTTGATATAGAAAGATATAGAGGCTACAGTAAATTAGGAGATACAATCAGAAAGGAGTAAGACTGTAGACAGCAGAACAAAACACGACAACCAAGAACTGGACGGATAACTGTATAATTGCTAATATTATGAGCATAGTTCTAAAGTTTAAACATGTTAAAATACTGCAAATATTTATTTCAACATTTGCAGTTTGCACCACACTAGAACTGCATTTACAAACCCTAACCCCGTTATTATAATTATATTACTGCATGTTTCCCAAATGAAATGTTATTTCTGTAGATTCTGCTGATACACACTACATCTATGGGTTTGATACCAGTTGAATATTACTATTGGCTGACTCAAAGCAAACACAAATATATTCATCTACATCCAAATCTCCAACCCCATCCCAAACATCCAAACCGTTCTAGGGCAGGATCAAAAAGAAAATGTCATTTTTTCCCCGAGATTATTGTTTGATGGTGGTTAGATTAATAAACTAATCATATTGTTCTTACAGTATGTCCCCTCGACTGGGCAAATTATTTTTTTCAACCACCTTTATGAGGGGGGTTGCTTCTTCCAACCTCATTTCAAACTGTATACTTCAAATC